TTATTTTCTGCTTCAGTCAACAGTGCACATTTGTATTTCTAAATTGTGGAGCGCTTGTTATGTAAGGCAATTTTCTGCCTTCTTAAGAGCCGGATCTCCTGTGCATTAATAAGAGGCTAGGCTGAGCTGCTGGAGAGCCGAGGGCCCGCTCATGCTCTAAAACCACGCAGCTACCAGCAGCCATTTAAACACACAGCCTGCCATCATATACCGCGAGTATATATTTAAAAGTTTTATTTGAAATCTGGGGATTTAAAGCAGGTGTTATTGCGGATAATGCCAGGACGTGAGGACACTTTAAAGCTTCTACATGAAAGTAAAATTATAAGAGAAGAACGCCCAACTTTTATTCTCATGCATAAATATTTTTAAATGGTCTTTTTAATTGTCATTTCCATTAATTGTATCTTCCTCGCCAAAACTGGCAGAAAAAAGACACTCAAAACACTTTTTACTGGAAGAAATCATTTCAAATAATGTGTTTTTGTAATTCTTTTTATTTCAACATTTAAGAGCGACTTTTCCCTTTTAATGTAAACGCTGCCCAGCGTGCGCCACTGGGCCCACATTTAAGCATGTCATTTTAATTTTGATTTAATATCCTGCAGAATGACGGCGGCTCCCTCTTTGCTAAATTCAATGAGCACGGAGCTGATCTGGAAAATCAATTAATCGATGTGCAAGACTCATTTAATACACATGATAATATAATGGGAAAAATGTCCCCCCCCCCCCTACAAAAAAAAAAGGGAGACATTTGGAGCAAATTGGACAGTGGTGATTTTAACAGTGGTTGACATAAGTAAAAGTGCACTGCAGCGGAAAACAGTGACATGAGTGTCTGAAGGGGCCTCAGCTGGAGACAAAAGCAGCAGTGATGGGCCCGAGATTCGAGGAGGATGGTGGAGTGAGCAGGAATGGGGAGGAAAAGGAGGAGGAGGAGGAATGGGAGGATGGCAAGGAGGTGAGGAAAGATGGAGAGTGCAGACAGCCAGGCCTCTGAAAGGCCGTTGTGGTTGGCAGCGGCTGACCTTGGTGACGATGGGTTTTCACCAGAGGCTTCTAATGAAGGCTGATTGCCAGGGAATAGTGAGGGAGCCAAAGGGGTGGAGAGGAGAGCGTGGAGGGGGGAGAGAGAGAGGAGAGGGAGAGAGAAAAGGATTGAGGAGAGACTCAGGTAATTGCAGCACTTGTGGGTTGAGGCCCTGCAGTCTTGTGATGTCGGGGTGCAGTGGGGAAGAAGAGAGATGTCTGTGGACGCTTTGGTGGTAAATTGTGGAGCACAGGGATAGGAGGCAGGCCCCTAGGCTGTAATTACCCCTATGAGTGTGTGGATGGAGAGTGGACAGGCCCAGTGTGGGGCTCTGACAGCGATCAAGGAGACGACTACGAAGGGGAGAGAGACAGACGGCGGGAGTCTGACGGAGGAGGAAGACAGGACGCCTCCACCTCCGCCAGGCCCCCCGAAAACCAGCCAGCCAGACACTGGACCAAGGTCAGAAGCTATTAGTGAACACACAACACGCTGGTGACAAGACAGCCATGACAAGAACAGCAGCACTGTAAAGGGTGCAGTTTCTGGATGGAGGAAGACATAATGTAGAAGGGGGAAAAAAGGGGCAATAAAAAGCAACTAATTAGATTAGAGGCACAAAGAGACGGATGCCGGGCCTCCGCTGGATGGCGCAGCAGGGTCAGGAGGGTCCGGGCAGACGAACTGGAATAAGACATTTGATAGGCTGGCCTAAGCTTCCCGCTGCCATGGATCAGTATGTACTGCCTCTCCTTTCCCCTGCCTGGGCTGATGTAACTCACTGGAGTGGCAAATTACACCAGACCTACAGCTGTAGCCCGACATTATGATTAATTTGATCAGTAATTTCTCCTGTTTTTCATTTTAATCGCCGAGACCATTCTGCTGTGGCAGGTCTTTCAGATCTAATTAAGATCAATTCCGGTGTAACAGACTTGGCGCGCCTTTACCCCGTCAAATCCCTGAGCTCTCCGGGCGTGGAGAAAACCCGCAGCTCTAATCAATCAACTTCCAGCAAAATCCAGCGGGCTCCCACAATCAGCCCATTAACGCACTTAAGCAAATTTCATAATCTTCCTCTGTCTATTTGTCATCACTGTGGTGGCTATTTCAGGCAGCTCCAGGCTGCCTCTGACTGCACTCTGCATGTTGGGGAGCTGCAGACAGAGTGTGTGAAAGGTGTAGGAAGGTAAATTCTCCCTTCATTTAACCACATTAGCTTCACTAATATAAGTTTAAAACACCGACTCGAGGGGGTTCGGTCTGCTGCCGTACGATTTGTAGTCTAATACGAGTATTAATGAGCTAATTAATGAAATTTGACTCACAAATTAAAAAATGCCAAACCCTCAAAAACACCAGGGATGTAATGAAGGCTTAGGATTTCTTCTCTGTGAGTTTACAAAGAATATCACACACCTCCCATGAGAAGAGAATTACAATGGGACATTAATTGGAACATAATGAGTGTTTGTCTCTCTGCGGCGCTGTGCAGTCTTTTCTGCAAATAGTTGAATGGCTGAGTGATTCTACTTGTTTGAATAATGACGGTAGGAAATAGGGGTGTTATCTGCAAAATGCTCATTGTATTATGGTGATTATGACTCCACTTTACTGCACACACTGGTTCCTCTGGGTAAAACACAGAAACACCAGAAATGCCCTTCTGTGCTGTTCATTAAAACATACAAAAGCACGATCGGGGTGACGGTGCTCACGTGCGCACGAGAAAGTCTCTACTCGGGAAGTGCTTTGAATTTAAAAACTTCTGTAAATGAACCAGAGACGTGGGACTGAAAATCCAATCACTGACCCAAGCGGCGGAGGGAGGCGGAGCTGCTGTTTAAATCCTATTGCAGCCATGAGAGGGTGCTGAGGCTGTCCTTCAGAGAGCCCCTCCCTGTGTAACCCACCCCTTGAAAATCCCAGCAATGACCCAGAGAAACTAAACCTTTTATGGCCATTTTGCTTCTTCTTCTACACACACACACTCACACACACACACACACATACACTATAATCCTATTTGATGAGGCAATATCTTAATGATACCCGATGTGGCCCCTCTGGCCCCCTCAAAGAAGGTCTGTCCTCAGCCATCGTAATCAGCAACCCTGCTTCCTTCACAGAAACACCACCTCGATAAAGCTCGGGAACTCAGACACGCAGTGAGCTTGTTTCGAAATAACAATGGTTCTGCTGCTTTTGTTTAGATTCTTGGAAATTTAACCAAGTGGTGGTTTCCTAGCATATTAAAGCTTAAGAGAGTATCTGTTACTTAAGGTGTTTACACACTGTCTGATGCAAGCTTAATGTGTGGATCTGTATGTTGGTCAGGAGCTCTTGTATCCACAGTCAGACCGGACAGCCTGTTTGGCGCGATGTAGCGGCCAGCCTTTGGAGCCCATTAAATCCAGAGGCTGTTTTTCCTGCTGAGTCTCACTAGGCCGTGACAGGGCCGGAGAGGGCTGCGAGGGGAAACAAATAGCCCAACTCATCCTGGCCATAAAGAAGCTTGCACCACAACCCAATAAGGGTCTGACGCTGATGAATGTGACCAGGGACAGAAAGGCGACCCTGGCCAGTCTCCACCAGAAATGAAACCACAGGGATATAAAATAGGTTATTATCGTCACACAGTGACAGGCAGACGGACAGAAGGGCAGAGATGGATGGACAGACAAAGTGACTAAAAAGGAGGTTGAGTGGGAAGAGCAGCAAAGATTAAAGGACTGATTACGACTGGAAAGCCTAAGGATAGATAACCTCAGAATCCCTCCTCGATCTGCAGCAGCAGGATACGATTAATGCGTCTCGCCTGGCTGTGAGGTTGGATGTGCTCAAGTGCGTCAAGGTTTCAATAAAAACATGCATATTCTAATAGGTCCACATGGACACCACTTGATAAAGATCATCTGCAGACAAACAATCGAGCGCAGAGTATACAGCTGCTGCTAAAGGCCACAATGATGCGATTCCCATCCACATGTCAGCTCATGAAGCACTTTTCTTTTTAAAAAGAAACACTTCTTGGCCTAACTGCAAGATCAGTGAGCAGAGCTATTGTTACTATGGTTGACGTAGATAATCTGTATTAATAAAAAGAACAAATTAATGGGCAACGGCAGTGACATGATGATAAATACGTTTAAACTCTGTTCTGATGTAATTTAAAATAGCCTTTAAATATTTACATTCTAAACTAAAACAGAACTAATAAAGACAAAAAATGAAACCTCAATCCACGTAAATATAAGAGTACTGATGTAGGTGAACAGGTTGGATTAAACCAATCAGAAGTGCCAAATCCACTTTAGATCTACCCTCACTCATATCAGTTGGCAACCCCCTGGCAACCTCTAGAGACAAGGACAAATGTATATTCCCTGAATGGTTGGCGAGTGGTTGCTGTTGCTGGAATAAATAGATCACAAAGAAAGTGCGGCACCAAAAACCTCCTTATGATTTATTTGGTTACTAGAAGATTGATGTAGTTTGCAAGGAAGATGCCAACTTGCCAACTTCGCCTTCAAAGTAAAAGCTCGGTTTTTTAAAACATGCTAGTTTAAGTGGTTTTCCATTTCCAGTTTGTTAGAGACACTTTGCAGACAAGTCATCATCTTACATGTGAATCTGCTAGCGGCCAAAGCAATCACAAGGAGGATTTTGGTGCTGCACCTTCTTTGCGATTTATTTAATCTAAACACACCAATCACTCGCCTATGTCTTTGACACTGCATATGTCTTTAAGACCAATTTTGCCTAGTGACACCAAGTGGCCTCCACCAATCACTCATTAACTTGTCAGGGAGTACACATTTTTTACGTATCTGGGGCTTAGCAATTAATTTTCCAGCAACCTCCAGCCAAAAATCCAAATAGAGTGTGCTGAATTAGAAGTTGTTTTAGAGAGAGGAGAAGCTGGACCTGTGCTTATCTACAAATACATGTTAGTTTGTGGACTCACGGGCAAAGGCATGGGCGGAGTGACGGGTGACGGGAGGCTGCGGGCCGGAGACTGGTTGGGTCGGTGCGGCGGGGACTGCTGCGGCTGCCCGGAGGTGGAGGAGCAGGTGGAGGCTGGAGACGGGACGGAGGTCTGCTGCTGCTGCTGGCTGGGTGGGGTCATGTGATGCTGGGATGACAGCTGGTTCTGGTTATGGGAGTGAGACTGTTGGTGATGGTGGTGCTGCTGTTGCTGCTGCTGCTGTTGCTGTTGCTGCTGCTGCTGTTGTTGCTGCTGCTGCTGGTGGTGGTGCTGCTGCATCTGTTGGAGCTGCTGCAGGTGCTGGAGCTGGGAGTTCAGTGATGAGGTAGCTGTTGATGAAAGGACAGGAGTTTGATTCTTGGTAGTGTCTGGGCCACACGCTGCAGAAGTGTTTCAGCACATAAACAAGAGGCCTTCATTATCTGAAGAATATTTTCACACCAAAGACAGAAACACATGCACACATAGAGTGTGGGATGCATAGGGTAAACAGTGAAAGACAGATGTAAATTGCATGGAGCCACAACAAGGTCCTCCTGGGTTTTTAGCCTGCATGATGGAGTCACTGAATTCAATTTAGCTAGTTGGAGGACAAAGCTATCAAGCCTGACTGATATAATTGCTCTCCGGAGCCAAAAAGTCGTCATTGTCACTCGGAGAAAGAAAGAATCTTTGGTTTAATGGCTCAAAATCTCATAAGAAAGAGACATCCATCTTCTCTGTAAGAGTTCAGAAATAAACCCATTAACTAATTGGATCCAATAATAGCGTGCCATTAGAAAGTAATTCCAACATTTAAATGCTTATAAATTTTTATGCTGTTTAAAAAAAAAATCAGTTAACACTCAAGCTGCAGCCACACCAGACATGCAGATACTACCAAGTACCCAGAGAGCACACCTGACATAAAACAAATGTAAAAACATGTTGGTGTGACCGCTGTGCAGTTCACTCCAAACACCCGAATACACAACTTGGTGGATCTTCTGTCATTTCACACACACAAACACACACTTTATGTTTGAATGTCAGACGAAAGCCACAGCACAACACAGACAACGAATGATTTCTACTAAAGGAATCAACCGTAACACCATATGTGCGAAATGGGCTAAAAACAACAACATCTAAGCTGACCTTCACACCCTAAACAGAAGAAAGGACAAACTGAGTTTACACACAGATGTGATGGATAGAAGAGACTTTTTAAAACCTGTGTATGTCTTAACATGTTGACAGTTCAACCGCTTAAAAACAACTTTACATATCAGAACATATCATTGCTACGCTTGACTTCCAGCAGATTGCTGTGGACTGCTCGGTGATGCTACACAGCCTTAGACAGAAAAGAAAAGAGTGAAATCAACATTTGACTGTTTCTGTGCTGCAAAAGATAATTTGGGTTTAGTGGAGACAGGACTGATCTGTATGGAGATATTTCATCTAGCTTTTTACAGTGTAGTGCACAATAAAAAGACATTTCTGCCCTATGTAATTGTTTCCACAGTTAAAGTTACTTTCAGCTGCTCACTTATTCAGAAGAGGGTGACCACAGCAGGTAGCTCTGCATGTTTGATTTGCCCTTCTTAACACAACCCACAAAAGAGTTTGTTTCTCCTCCCAAAATTGAATTCAGCCTCATTTGCTTGTTAGGCAAAAGTGTAAACTACTGCACTATAGAGCCGCTTCAGTTCTTAAAAAAAGTCAAAAAATAATCTTAAAACCTACAACTTCTTTGGATGGAAAGTAGACTCTGATCTTTCAGTACTAGCATTTCAATTCCATTCAATTCAGTTTATTTACAAATCCCATCAACAGTCGCCTCAAAGTGCTTCAAACATCCAGAAAAATGAAAATGTAAAAAGTGAAGAAGAAAAACACCCTTCAATCATGCTATGAGTGTTGATGTTGCATAGTTTGCCCACCAGAGGGCACTCTACAATATGTCTCTGGGTTGCAACAACCACAACAGGCAGTTGATTCAAGAACTATCGGGCGGTGGTAAACGAATAATCCACGAGTTGTTGTAACAGCAAAATTACTTTTTAAACATCACTTTCGTTATCTTAGACTACACTATTAAATTACTCCATATAATTCTGCGTTGTGTGTCTGAAAGAAAAAAATATCGGATTTTTAAATCACCAAATATCGGTATCGGTCTTTAAAATCTCATATACTAAAAAGCAAGGTAATTATGCTGAGTAAAGCATATGCTGTCTAAACAAGCTAAATTAACAGGTTTTGTGAAAAATACACTTCCTGTTTTTAGAATTAGGAAAGTAAAGACTAAATAAATACTTCAATTAAACTTCTATTAATAACTAAATTAACTACGTTTGCCTCTTTTAAGTCAAATGTTCATGCTTTAAAACTAAAAATCCACAAACTAGGGTGTAAACTGTGATGTCATTCTGAATAACATATAAAGTGTCGCAGATAATGTATTTATACTATATTAACATACACGGCCGAACTAAGCTAAGCTAAATATTTACAGTGTTTATAACAATAACACAAAGGCCCTGATAACAAACACTGGAAAATGACTTGTGAACATCTATTGATAATACGGCCCAGCAATTGTGAACACATCGTAGACAAGCTTGTACACACACCGAATCAATGCACTTAAATTATTTAAGTATGCTTGTCTCATAAAAGATGAATAAAACATCAGGGCAGACAAGTCTTTGATTAGCGTGGTCACTTCGTCTCCAGGACAGGCACAGATGAACATTTGATGAAGATCAGATCATCCTTCTCTTTCCTCACTCTGCAGAAGCCCAGCCAAAGAGAGCTGGCATCTCTCGGCCAGTAAACAGCACACTTTTACATTTCTTCTACCTCCTGACACATTGACACCTCTCTCACACCCCCACCATGAATTATATATCATCTGTGCAAACGGCAAGAGTCCAATTCGCACTTGAAATGTTGGGGCAAGTTGTCTAGCAAGCGCTGAGCCCCTGACAGGACCGGCTCTTTTCCTTTGCAACTTCACAACGACAAAATGTTGAGCCCCATTTAAAGATGGAATAAAAGGGAACAAAGACGGAGAAAACAAAAGGGGGGCAAAATGAGATTTCTGTCAAAAAATTATCGAAACCAGGCGAAGATCAAAGACGATTGAAGAATTTCCTCCAGCGCCAACCATTACGCCAAGGAACACGAGGCACAACAAAAGAATATGAAGCAGAAGAAAACAAATACAGAGGGAATATGGAAGAAGCCCCATGTGGCCTTATTATAAGGGCTACACTGCAGGTAACTATATTCTTTAACAGCAGTGCTTTATAAATTCTGTCATCTTGTTAAGACTGTCAGGACCACTGACCCTCCCTTCCTCTCTAACTGGGCAACTGGCATTTTGAAGCTCATTCTTTTAACCACAGCTGTCTGATTGCTTTGGTTGAGCACATAATCCAAACAGCTTGTCTCAGCTAATTGTTTGTGCTCCTTCCTCCAGCAGACACAGGGCCGAGGATGAGAGCGGGAGCTTCACTTGTGATGGAGAGAGGGCAAAAGGGTGCCGGGATCCTATAGAGCTCATTATATCTCCCACTGTCTCTTTGTTGTGTTTCATATTCACTAGTTCTCGTCTGCTGCGATGCAGTCAGCGCTCCCACTTAGTCATCGCGCCTGAGGGGTGGAAGAGCAAGGGTCTCACTTTCAGTGTTGTCACAACTTGCCTATGTTAATGTTTCTAATGAGGAATGAGCCAGATCATGCGGCGCAATGATCAGATGCAAACGAAACTCAATTTTAAACTTTTAACAACAATCATTTGGGACTCCGAGACACCAGCGCTGAGAAGTCTCAGGCCTTCAACCTCAGCGCTTTGAGAAACTGTCTGCCATCTCTCTTTCAGAGCTTCTTCTTCTTTTTCTTTTTTTTCGCTTTAGTGCCACAGTAGAAATCAACTGTTATCTCTGACTGTCCTGGCCCAGGCTTGTGAAGTAGTGGAGGACGAAGCGAGACTGATTGTCAGAGGTCGAAAGGCTAGGTCAAAGCCGGCTCGTTCGTCAGACAAAATGCTATTTTTGTTTCCTGTGCGGTTGAGTAGTGGGGTGGGAGGGCGGGCAGTCTGCTCTCTCATTACCAGCGCTATCTCAGTAGTCACTGCCAACCCACCTATTACAGCACTTTTCTCTCTGGGGCTGATTCAAGCTCCTTGTTTTCCTCCCGATGTACAACACCTGCCTTTGTAACTATTTCCCTTGAATTGCCTTATACACCCTTTGCCTGTGTGCTTGTTTGTGCATATGTAAATGAGTCTGGCTACCTGTTGGTATCGTGTCATCCTAACATCCACAGTGCATTTTTCGAGTTAAATGAAATATGAAAACATCTGTTGATGCATTTAGCCTTTCTGAAAAGCAAAAAATAGGTGGTCGTCATGTTATAGCGCTTAGAAAAGACCCGGGCAAGGCCAGCATGAAGAGTGATTGCAGGGTCATAGCAATCACATCTACACAAAGGGACTTTGACTATCATTCGTTCTATCAAACCGCACGTGATCTGTGTTGCATAAAGTATGGACAGAAGGAGTCGGAGACGATGATCTCATGTTGGAGGCATTCAGTAAATCTAGCCGTTAAAAAGGAAATGATAGTTCACAAAGCTTGGACAGAATGTACTGAGTTTCAGGACTGAATAAAATCTAATGGTACCTTTTGTATATTCATGCATGCACACTGGCTTTCATATGCATCTCTTCCTTTAAAGCCAAGAAAAAGTTTTTCATCTAGCTGCTTATACACTGCTGCACTATCTGGATGTCTTTAGCCTCACTTAGGAGAGGAGTGCAGTAAATTAAGAGCTAATCAGAAGCTACAGAGGAGCCTTTCCAGGTTGATGAAATTGTCCTATGTGACCCACCCTGTATCTTTAGGAACTGCTCTCGTCTCTAAACACGGCTGTCATTCTCCGACGAGAGAGGTGAGGGGGGGACAAACAAGCTCCCCATTACTGCTCTGCCTCACGTTCCTCTATGGGAGTCCATAAACCACTGTCTCAATTGCCTTTTCAGTGAGTCACACTGATAATTACTCCACTGGAGGTAAGGAGATTTAGACTCTATGAGATCTGGTAATTATGAAGGTGGTCAAGGGAAGGTCATTTTTTACTCTGTGGATTAGATTGGCGCGCTCGCACACTGATGAAGGGGATAACATCACTGTTTCTGCTCTCATTTCCTTTGTGAAATGTTAACTTTTAGTTCACTTT